GGGTTTCATAAGGATGGAGGTGGGTTTTATTATTGTTTGGGCCTTTCGGCCCGTTCCGCGTTATTCCACAACGAATTGAATGAAAGCGAGACAGCCGACAATACCAAGTGACAAAGAACAATCGATATCGGCTAAGCGTTGATTATTCGCATGATATGTACGCGGCGTATGTCTAGTACATGCACTACGTATGGGCCGTCATTCTCTACGCATGCGCTAACTTCTGATAGATAAGACTGTTGACTTTTCCAAAGTTTCTTTGACAATATGAAACCACGGCCCATGGGGCTACAAAAAGGGGGACTGAGCAAAGGCCGAAGCGGAATCTTAGTCGTCTTCTTAGTCTTATCACGGGAAAATGTAACATGGTCAGCTCGTCACACGCTAGATTGGCTTGGAGCCGTCAATCGCGTGGGAGCTGAGGAGAGCAGGGGTATCGGCGGCATCCAGCGGGGAACTTCACTTCCATGGCGTGCATTTACCACCACGTTCCTCCATACATCCTTTTCATTCCAAGACTTAACCTTCCGCTGAGGTGAAAATGGGAACGACGAGTGCACACTGGTGAGACCGAATGTCTCTTCTGTTTCAAACCTAAATGCGAAGTTGGAACTAGGCTCCTGGGATTTTCTGGTGAGGCAAAACGGTCCGGCCCGGAGCTGGGAATTTTAGTCTTTAACTTGGTGGCATTATTGACAATTGCCAGGACCACAGCAAGAGCAATGTCCCAACTCGGACTCGTTCCTTTCTAGAACTCCAGGGATCGACTTCGGCGGACAGGGGCAACGTAAACCAAGAGAAGAGAAAATAAAGGTTGGCCCCCATTGGGCTGATAACTATCCTGCAGCCACTTGCTAACTCGGTCACTAACATGCTTTTGGTGCCCAATGGGACCGGGTTTTTCATCGAAATTCCCCCTAGTTCTGCACCTAAATTCCCCAGTCCCCGGGCCCGGAGCCCCTAAAGGTTTTAAGGCGAGGACATTGGTCAAGTTATACGCCTTTTGCCTTGGCCATTATCTGCCTTGACGATGCTTGGAGCTTGGCGAGGGGAGCTAGAGCAGATAATCCCCTCGTCTGGGGGCGAGGCAACAATTAGCGTATTTTTCTGCCACCCCTATTCATGACTGTTTACTGGCTGGAAGCCGATAATCCAGCTTGCCTATTGGCCTTATAAAGGCGGTCAGGCACGACGCTAATTGTTGTCTCGCCCCCAGACGAGGGGGATAATCAAAGGTCTGCGTCGGTGTTGCAAATTCCTTCACCCTTCCCATAAGTGTCAAATGAGTGAGCAGCTTCCCATCTCCTGTTTGATCTTCAGCTCCCTGAATAATAGATCGGAAAACGCGGCCGAGGTCACCTTTCTTCCAGGCCGCCATATGTGGAGTCTTCATCATCAAAGACCCTTCCAATCAAAAAATTCCTCATTTCAGCTCATTGATGGTTGGACATTTCCTTGGACAAAGATTTTAGTTTTGATCACTAGCCTGGCTTTCATATGGGACACAAAAGACTCTGGTGATCCTGGCTAAAAAGATCCGGGGTAATTCTATCCCTGTTGTTAGAAAATTCCGGACATACTTCCAAACCAGGGTTAATAGTAATATTTAATAATGGGGAGCAATAACTATCACGCATTTCCCCGCCGGCTCGTTCCATATGGAAACTAGTAGAAGGCAATGATTAGTTCTACTGTATTCGGCTCTCCTTTTTTTCGCCTTCTCTTCAATTAGCCCCTGAGTCCTGTGTTTTCATGGCACCTCACTTTCCTGAAGGATTGATGGCTGCATCCATCAAAAGCCCACTAATATTTTATAGACTTGGTGAATATTTGCAAAACATATCTCCAGACAGAAGATGCCGTGCATAGAGATCTCATACTGTCCACCTATAGTTAACGAGGTATCTCCTTTGTCCTTGGATTAAGATCACTTTTATCTCAGAGTTTATGTAGTATTTTCTGAGGATCTTCAAATTCTGGAGAATATCTAAGTGGCTTACTATATGTACTGTAGGAAACAGATTTCATAGCAGTCAGTGATCCTTTTCATGGAGAGATTAATACTCTGTCATGCTACCGATGCCTCCGGTCCCTGGCATCCTCAGGGGTTTTTCTGTCGAGAGCCTGCCCTTACCTAGTGCCCGGTGCAAATTGCAGAATTACATACACTCAGGGACAAAGCCTGTATGATATATAGTTGAACATTTTGAAAATGACAGCGCTCGAGAGTACCCGTGACATGGCGCTTGTAGTGTATAACCTTTTTAATTGAATGGTGAAGAGTCTGACTGTGTCATATGCAATTTACTCCCACTGTATGGAGGTGAGGGCTGGACTTTTTCGACATCCAGTATTGAGATTTCCATTTATATTTCTAGTGTGTGCAAGGACTTGTAGATAGACAGTAGAGATCCCTACACACAACATATTCCATATGGAGAGGGCTATGTTGTCTAAAGATATTAGTTACCCTTGGCAATGTGTGATTGTGATTCCTCCTTCCTGGATACCTGCCAGGTTCATTTCCAGAACCCTTCGATCGTCTTCAATACGTCCACAATCCAAGCCAGTTCGTAGGGAACAATAGCCTAGGGGAGAAGTGGCCTACCAGGGTCAAGTTTCCCCTTTTCAGTACATTTATGCGCAGTACTATTGGTTGCTTTCGGGTGGATACCATAACGATACATACACGTATATTCTCCCAAGAAATCATTAGCCACGAAATTGGCTAGATAATCTTTCTATCATGTGTAGAAGAGAAATTTTCCCGAGTTCGCAAGGAAGCGCTTGGTTGTCCCGGCAGGAGACTCAGATATCGAATAATATCGAGTTCGTTTTGCCTGTGGCTGGTAGGATGCTAGGATGGGGCAAAGGGGAACTTGGCATCAACAAGGTAACAGCTGAGGGGGAAACCTGCAGCCGGGATCTGGCGTGAAGGGCTGCGTACCTTGGACTGCGAAGGGGTGGACTATCGCCATCGAACTTCAGGAGATAATAACTGTTTCCCTGCTAGAGTGCAGAAGTCGACCGCCAAAAACCCCCAGTTACGCAAATCTGATTCTGAAAACCGTTAACCCCTGGTGCTGGGAGAGCCGGCCAACTAGTAACTGTTGGGATGATATACGTATCAGATTATATCACTGAGCTTTCCTCAAGGGGGGTCAGCTGTCCAGATATTGGATTTCTATCTATCAAATGTGACACCGGCTCCATTTAACCTTAGCACACATACTAGTATATCTCACATTCCATGGCGAGTTGGCTGAATCTGTTGATGGGCTCCTTGCTTCAACTCCCACATCCCTTGAACACATGAATAATGTGATTCGGTCTTAAGCGTGAATTTGCTGGCCGGTGCAATCGCTGTCCGTTAAAGGTATTTAGTATCTAACATTACTTTGACTATTCCGGATGGGAATGCATACCAATTAGAAATTCAAAAACAGCATGGTATCATCAACGGACCGTGAAAGAGATCGGAGTGAAAAGGAGCAACAAGAGTAATCCTCAATCTCAGATCTCGCGCGACGACTGAGGTTAAAATCGCTGGACGACGTGGACTTGTACTGATATGTATACTAGTATGGATATATATATTAGTATATATTATTTGCCTTTCTCCTTCAATCAATGGGCATCTGATGGACACAATTCCATGCCCCGGAGCTCCTTGAATCAAGAGGTTTATATCCTCCATTTTTCGTTATCATCTACACACCCAGCTTCTCACAAAAATTCCTCATGGAATTGAAAGGCATCCAATGTAGTTTGTCTTCATCAAGGACAAACGTCCACATGGACGGACTTCAAGTTCTCAATTTGAAGGCAGCGACAGAGAGATGCGGTCATTATTACTCCTACCCGCAACAACTGCCTGCTCAGTACGTCTGTACAAGTAGTGTATAGTATGTACATACATCGTTCGTGTGTACATCGCGAGAAATGCGTATCGAATGGCGAAGAATTATTCCCAGAGTACAAATGGGAAAACGTGACCAAGTTGGCAAATGGCATTTTCTTTGTTCCACTACTTGGGTCCGGAAGGGCTTTCCGGAGCTATAGCCCATAGTCGAACAACTCTTTGTTTATTAGATATTCAGGGGGGTCGGCCATTCTATCGAGTTATAGCCATTTTGGGCGTTGTGCATGGTTCTGATGCGAACTGTTGCGAAGGCTTGATCTGATGTTGTACAAGCCGTGCCATTACGTGCGTTGATGAGGAACCGCCTGTGAATGGCATCTGAAATGCTGATCAACCATATAGTCACTGAATATCGGCGTGACACACGACCGAGATTGTTTCGTTCCCTGATTTAAACGCCCTAACCATGGCCCTGAATGGTTTGAATAATATACAA